CCGTGGGAGGGAGAGCCGGAGTCTGAGCTGCAGTGGAGCACCTCAGGGAATGGCCCCCCTCCACACCCACCACAAACACGTGGGGATCGAAGGGGGAGAAGGACAGCGAGGTCACCCCCATGGCTGCCTCTGCCCAGGCCAACTGGGAGAAAAGAGAGACAGAGCTGGTGTGAGCACTGGGGCTCCAGGGAAAGGCAGATGCGGTCAGAGCAGCTCAGCCCAGCCTGCCAGGGATCCAGGGCACTGCTCAGCCTTTAACTGTTGCTGATGCATCCTCCTACAGAGGGATTCACATGAATTAATATTAGAAGCAAGTTCTCCATTCCAGCAGCTTCTCTTTAGAGCATGGCAAAACCTTAGCTGTTGCCAGTCTTCCAAGGGTGATTTCAGTGTGGGAAAGGAGATGGGGATCAAGGGTTAGTGTGTGTGTTCAGAATGAGATTTTCCTGGTCCTTCTCATGTGCAGGGTGAGCTCTGACACTTGGGCTCCGGGGTTTAGAGTGTTTTTGTAGGATCAGCTCTTTGAGCTGCTGAACTCACCTTCTTCAGCCGAGTGCTGCGAGGGATCTGCTGAGCCACCACAGCGAATCCATCGGCCAAGGCCAGCCGCCCATCCCGCTCCTCCCTCCACACCAGGATCTTCCCATCGGTGGACACGCTCAGCAGCTGGGAATGGTGTCTGTGCTTGGTGTCAGGTAACCAGTGAACCTGTTCCAAATGCCACCAGCTCAGGTGGGGGACTGTCACAAAGGCCCAGCCCACACTCGGCTGCCAGCGGTGCCTGGACCTGCCAGGACGACACAGGAGCAGGGCCAGGCAGCAGCCACTGAGCCTGGTACCAAACCAGCTGCTGCTGGGACTGGCACAGACAGATGTGAGGAGAGAAATGCATCCAGGTGTTCAGGCCTGAATTCTCTATTGCAGTTTCTATGGTTCACTGCCCTCACTTTTGGGATGGGGCATTTATGGCACTTTCACCCAGCTACAAACAGCAATGTTTTCCTCCCTTTCAGATGAGGAAATACAGATTGGCCCCAGAAGGACAAAATCCTTAGGAAGCCAGACTGAATGACATGCTTGTAAATCCCCTCAGAGCAAGGGGCTTCAGGCTTCCACCCAAGGATCTACTTGTGTTCTTAAACCATCACAAGTATTGTTGGCTGCATCAGCATTAATAATTAGTTAGATGTGAATGAACCTCCTCTTCAATTATCCTGGACAGAGAGAAGTGATTTTTTTACAGGTAAATGTCTGTTCAGGAGCTAGATTTGGGAGGAAATAGCCAGCAAAAGAGACTGCTGCTGAAATGCAGCAGCTTGGCTGTGGATAGGAAGCAAAGGGATGACAGAGCTGTGGCAACACTCACCTCCCCCAGCACTGCCTGCTGTCTATGATCTCTGTTACCTGATAGACTGGGTCAGTGTGGGTGTCATCTGTCATCCCTGTCCTCCAGATCACAGGGTCTTCTGTCCTGCTGGTGTCCCACACCACCAGCTCCCCACTGAAAAGGCCACCTGAAAGGACAAAGATAGAACATCTCAGGCCTGATGGCTCAGACAAACACACAAATGGAGCTGTGGTGGGAACAGACCCAGCAGCTTCAAAGGTTGGGCAGCTCTGGGCAGGGCACAGTCTGCCCTAGTGTAAGAGAACATTGTTCTGTTGAAATAAGTATGTTCTTCCCTTACACCCTGGGCTGGATTTCCCTCTGTCACCTCTTTCTGAGGAGGTGATATAAAGGCAGAACGTCACTAGAGGCAGCAAGTACCAGTTCAGAGGTAACTGCACTTATCTGTGTTGGTGACCATTAGTTCCTCAGTTTGAGGAGCTGCAACACTGTTCCTTCTGCAGGAAATCTGAGGCTGAACTCAGAGCCAGAAACCAAAGGATCCAGGCTGCAGGAAATAAGGGTGTGTTTCAGGCATGGTCTGAGGCAAGAGCAACCCACCAGCTATCAGTGAGGGCTGGGAGGGGTGGAAAGCCAAGCACATGACAGAGCTGGGAACATCCATCACCAGGTCAGGGTGCTGTGGATTCAACCCTCTTCTGTCCAGATTCCAGGTACAAACGTAGGATTTTTCCATGCTCCAGTCCCCATCATCCAACCTGAAAAAGGGAAAGCCATGTCTTGCCCTGCCTGTCCCACAGGGGATCCCAGTCCAGCAGAGCTCTGGGATGCCCTGTGGGTCATTTCCATGTGCTGCTTTGTGGCCTGAAGGAAAACTGAGGTGAAGGGATCACGAGGGGATGGATCTCTGTGGGCTGGTTTATACAGTGTGTGCCAAGGCCCATGTCTCTGCTCACAGAACAAAGTGCCAGCCAGTAAATCTTGGGTATGATTCTCTATTCCAAGGCCTACTCACCATGCAAATAATGGGAACAATCAAAAGGGTGCATATGGAAAGTTCAGGGAAGGGAACTCTACTGAGGGTACCCACAGACACAGAAACCACATTCCCATCTGCAAACAGCTGTAGACTGGGAGAGAAGAAAGGGCAACCAACATACAGGTTTGCCCTGTTTTACTCTTCCCTACACATTCCCTCATGGATACCCCTTTTGCTGGGGTTTTTAATCAAAGGAAATGGGAGCAGAAGGAAACAAGAGTAAGGGCAGCATTAGAGCCCAGGAGGGGGAGGCTGTACAGACATTGTTGAATTACATGAATGTTTTGTCCAAGCCTCATTTCAGAAAGCCTTGAATGTGTGTCAGTTCATGTCTGTGGCACTGGGCATGAACAGGTGCCAGGTTCATCCAGGGTGCTCAGAGACCACATGAAACACCACGATCTCAGTGAAGATAAAGCACAAACCTCACCTACAGATATTTGCAAGTGCATCTGCTCTTTACATTTTTTTTCCAAACAGAATCTACCTAGAAACAGTAAGACCGTGTATCCATTTTCAGGGCAAGGGGAAAGGTAGAAGAAATAAGACATAATTTTGTTACTTTGAAGATTAATTATTTATATATGTGTTAGTTTATTACTGATAACAGAAAGCAAACATATCTAGACCTGAGGCCAGCCTGAGGTGTCCTGTCAGCCTCAGCTGCACTCCCAATCCACCCGGATACTCACCGGCCATAGGAACATGCGATGACAGATCCCGTGGCATTCCATGAGACACTGGTGACCTGCAGGTTTTTATCCTGAGCCTCTGGGTATGACAAGGTATGCAAACACAACACCTGGGAGAGACCAAATCCAAGCACTGAAGCAGCAATCTCTGAACACAGAGACGTGAGCTCTGTGCCCACCTCTGATGTGATCGTGTTGTAACAGCCTGGGCTTCCCTCTGCCCAAGGACTGATGTGAAAAGGTTGTTGAATTCCCACTGGGAAACAAAGCCCCAACACAACCCTACCAAATCAACTGTCACTCCATTACTGCCTTTCTCAGACTGCACAGCTCTGGAAGGCTGTGCCTGAGGATTCACAGCACCCCCCACGTGTGAGTCTGGCACTTGCTGAGCGGTTTGAAAACGCCAGTCCCAACGTTTGCTGTCTGATACAAACTGCTTCCATTCCTGAGCACTGTGCACTAAACAAATAGAAGCTAAGTAGGAAGAGCTGCCAAATCACTGACTGCAACTGTTCCTAGATCCCTGCTAGTCTGGAGTGCTCTAAAGGCACTGAAGAGAAGCCTGCACTGATTGCAGCCTTCCCTCTCTCACCACTGCTACAACTCGGTCACCAGCAGGAATAAGTTTTACTGAGCAAGGAGAAGGATTAGTTTGGGGGGGGTGTACATCTAACTTGTAATGTTTAATTATTAGAACCTGGCAAGAACAATCACAGCAGTCAGGAATAGAACCAACGAGTCAGAGCCACTGCAACCAGCCCTGCTTGGGCAATGACAAGGGTCTGAATTCTGTCACTTACTGTTTCGTTCTGATCTGTCCAGTTCACTTCAAAGCCATCAAAGGCACGGCTTTCCCAGTTTTTATTTAGCTCTTTGATAACAGCGTCCTCCACTCTCCGAAGGAATGACAGAAGGCCAGTGTAATCTACTTGGACTTCTTGCTGGAAGTCTTGGAGAGCATCTTTGCCCTGTTCCGTCTGCACTGCAGCGTCCCGGCCTGTGTGAGACTGTGCTGCAGCTTCTGCTGTGGAAATTCTCCCAGTCTGGCAGCTTTTCTGGTAAAAGAAGACAGACAGTCTCTAATCCAAACAGAAAAACAAGTGTTGCACAAAGCGTTCAAAGCACCTTCTGGCATTCCATAGAGACTTTCCAGCCCATCTGCACAGCTCTGGTTCATGGCTGAGCACAGGTGCCTCTGTACCTGTGCAGGGGATGTATTTGTGACCTTCCCGAGAGCTGATGCGAGGCAGAGATGCCCGAATGCCAGCCACGTTCGGGTCGTGCTCTAAAGCACGGAATGGGGAGAGCTGGAGAAGGCAGCGAGCTCCGGAGGGACGGGCGAGCACCGCACAGGTGACAGACAGCGTTATGATCGCTCGAACCGCTCGGCGGCAGCTGCGCGGGCGTTTCTTTGCCAGTTCGTGTACGGGGCCAAATCAGTAAAAGGCTGGAAGGGGCAGCGCCGGCGGGCACACACCGGCCCGCACCTGCACCGCCAGCTCCCCGCGGGGCAGGGCTCGGTCCCGGGCAGCGGGACCTGCGGGGGGCCACGGAGGAGCACGGAGGGGGCAAGTCGGGGCACGATCCCGGCAGGACCGGGGAAGGCGCGGCCCAGCTCGGCCTGGCGGTACAAGAGCGCGGAGCGAGGCCACGCCGGGGTCTCTCACCGCCTCGCAGCGCGCGCTCCGGGCGCTCCTCCACAGCGACTGCACGTCGGCGCCGGGCGCCGCCAGGTCCGTGAACATGGCGAGGCCAGGGTGTGCGGGGGGGTCCCGGCGGGATCGGGAGTCCTGGAGGTTGGGGGGTCGTGGCCCGTCCCACTCCCACCACCGGCTCCGCGGGTTCCCATGGAAACGGGCGATGCGCGATGACGTCACCCGAGCGACGAGCCCGCCTGGCCATGGGCGGTAAAGTGAGCCGGGCGGGGCCATGTTGGGGACGGGCACGGAGCGGCTCTGCTGGGCGGGCGGCGGCTCCGTACGGGAGAGGGGCGCGGGCTGTCCCCGGCACTGTTACTAATGCTGTAGGTCCGGAGGGGGTTTCTCTTCCCCCTCTGGCCGCCCCCGCCGTACCCTCTCTGGGGCCCGGCTGGTCCCGCCGCGCCGTCGGGTCCCGAGTGACAGCACAGGCGGGAGGGCGCGGGGGCTGCCAGGAGTTAATATGGCGGCGGCGAGGGGGCGACAAAGCCGAGGAGGAATTATCGCTAATTCCAGACACACGGGGGAATTCCCGCTCTGACTGGAATGTAGCTCTGTGTTTGCCGAGGGAAGGGGACCGGGGAGCCGGCTCCGAACGCGAAAAGCCCGGGGTGTGCTTGGACTCGTTGCTTTGCTCTTGCGTTCGTTGGTTTTGATGAGGGAATTGTGGTGATTTGTGCTGAGGGGGAATCACTGAGGGACCGAGCTCCTGGAATTACTGAGGGACCCAGTGCCTCCCGCCCGCTGGGCAGCTCTAGGAGTGTCCCTGGTACGGGCACAGCTGGATGACAGCTGGATAACACCTGTGCTGCTCCTGTTGCAGGGACAGGGACCGATGTCCCGCTTCCTTAGGTGATTATTCCCAACAGGTAGCACTGTGCCTAGAGTTTTTTTTCAATCTGCAACTCCATTGGAACCCCTTGGTGATGAATGCAGGGGCTAAATTTAGCGCTGGCATGAGCAGGCACAGATGCACCAACTTAGGGGAGTTATTCCGGCTGTTGCTGGGAAGGAGCCTGGCCTGGGTGTGGGAATCAACAGAGTAGGAGCTCAGCAGTGAGTTCTCCTCTGGAGCACATGTGAATCCATTTATGTCAGAGCCAATCCAATGGCTCTTCTGAGGAATCTAAAATATTTCACAATTAATAGTGAAATAAGACTCCCTAAAACTTGTGGTAAAGAACTATTATACCCATTTTACAGACAGTGAAACTGGAGCAGAAAGAGGTTCAGTGGCACCTCCTTCAAAGCAAAGAAAAAGTTCCAATGGAAGTGAATCTTCCAGAATTTCAAATCCTGGCTGTGTATTCACTGTGACTCTTCCCCTGGTTGGTGTGAACCTTCAGGATACCTCACAGAACAGCCAAGAACATAAATGCACCCATGGGTTGGACTGATGGCCCTTTTAGCCCTGTCATCACTCTCTGATTTGCACAGGAGTTAATCTGAATTTCCAGAGTTCAAGTTTGGCATCTCCAGCAGCAACTTCTTTTTTGTCAGGTCACATGTCAGGATATGAATTACAAAACTTAATTACAAGTTGTACTCTGCTGTCCTTTCTACCAATTTTAAGGCAAGTGAAACATCTCAAAACCACAGCTGTAGAACTCTAGATTTCCAACCAGGTGTCTGTAGCTGTGGTTTTGAGTCGACTTGATTATCTTTATTTCTCATTCAGCTTTCTGTTTCCACCTTTTTTAAAACATCCATTTACAAAGGAGCTTTGAAAAACATGACTGTTGGAAACAATGTCCTGGTTTTGTCACAGCAGGAGTTCAGTCACTTCTCTGGAAAAAATACTTGAGGTCCTGCCTCAGCTTTTTCATTAAAAACCTCAACTGCTCTATCATACACCAGTGTTCTGCTGCTGGTATTGGTGAGATCCAGTACAGCACTGCCTGAGAAAGGCTTAATTTTTAAGACATCAGCTTAAAAAGATGCAAGACAGTGACAAGACCATCTGCCCCTTCATGAGTGGAATAAATATATTTTCTATTCAAATTCAAAAACCCTATTAAAAGGACAGAAAACAAGCATTGTTGGATGAGGTTTTTCTACTGCAAATATTTAAATTCAGGAAGTAGTGGGACTTTTAAAGTTTATGTTGAATAACTGATACTAAATATTTGCACCCAATAGCACAGTGTTTTTTTAAGAGGTTCTTGATGTTTAAGATTTATCCTCTATAAATAGATCATCTGAAGTCATCATTAAATTATCTTAAATTGGTATGAGTAGAACTGCCAAGGCATATTACTGTTTAGAAGAGGAGTAAATATTACAAGTGTGAATTAATATACAGGGTGCCTCATCATAAAAATGCTCAACACAAAGTGCAGTTTAAACACTTTAAATAACTTGTCAGAGGGAACTTAAGGAGGAAAGTTTGTAGTTTTTTGAGATGGCAAAGAGATAAGAAAACTGGAATTTGAGTACCAAAGAGACCAAAAATAAATCAACATTTTTTTCAGTCAGTAATATGCAAAGTTACTGCACATGTAGAACATGTTCCCTGGAACGTGGTGCATGTCTGGGCTTTTTTCTTCCCTGAGGATGAGAAAGGAGCTAACAGCTGCAGACAATGCCTGTTCTAAGTAACCACTTTGATCCTTCTTTATTCCAGTTTCTCTGGAATATCAAAGGTATTTCAAGAAATCTTATGTTGCTTTTTCTTTCTGGCCTGGCAGTATCAGATACAGTGATGGTTTTGTTTTCACTCCATGCTGGAAATAAGGCAAAATCGGGGATAACTGGGGAAGGGCTGTTCCTGGCCTGAGGCTGCCAGGTCTCTCTGAAGTGGCAGTTTTTACTACAGGGCTGATCTGTGCTCCTTCCTCTCTCTGTTTCATGAGACAAAGCGTAGGAAGTTTTCACTTTCACATAATGGAGCAAATCATCAGAAAACAACAAGAGAAGGTTGAGGTAAAGAGAGAACAGCGAGGGAAGAAGCACTGGGGGGAAAAGCATCAAAAAAGGACTGAGCTGTCAGACAAGCTGCACTCTGGGGTCTGATCACTGTGACCTGAGCAAAACAAACACTCTGAGCTGCATCTCAGTAAAAATTCCCCCACTAGTGGGTGCAGTTGCTGCCCTGGATTTGTGATAAATGAAACTATTCAGTTCTGTCGAGGCTCCAGACAGGCCAAACATCAGATTGTACCCAAAAATAGAGAGACGTAACTGAGCCTTCCCCTTTTACACCTTCCCCTCAGCTCCCTCCACCCCAGACAGATGGAGTAAAACAACATGCACAGATCAGTCCAGCCATGAGAAAGAGCTCTTGGAACTCAGACTGGCAGGGAGGGGCTTGACACAGGATTGAAGGCACTGCCTTTTGCTGAGCGATGGTTTTGTTCAGAGGAACAGAACTTTTACATATTCTCCTTTATTCAAAACAAACCACAGCCAACCAACAAAACTCTCCAAACAACAGCAAGGGTTTGTTTCACAGAATTGTCACCCCAGGACCTACTTGTCTCCCCAGCTTGTATAACCAGCAAGACCTAGTTCTGTTCCCTGGTTGTTCCTTTCCCACCTGTGACTGGGAATGGCCCAAGGTGACAGATTTGGTCTGGCTGAGGTCTGGGTACTGAACTATTGCCTTTGCATTAACCAAAGGATAGAATATGGAGTTTGAACTGGCTTTGTGCTGACACTTTGTGCTTGTTATTGGGATATGGACAATATCTGATCAGTTATCCCATATTTGGCTTTTGTTAGAGAGTTGTGATGTTAAAATCCACCAAACTTGAAGGCAGAAAAGGTCCCCACAACTGTCAGTGTTGAACACAATGTCTGTGCAGCCCACCAGGTGCTCAGTACCTTGGTGAGGGTTCAGGTCCTTGTGTGGACCTGAGGTGTTCTCTCAAGCTCTGTGACTCCCTTACCTATTTATTCCCAGTCCATCCTAACGGGCTCGTGCATTGTCTCTAATTTCAGACCTTCTTTTTCCTGTTTCCACCCCAAAATGTCCCTGCAAATGCTGTGCCCTTTTTGCTTTAAAAACCTATTTCTCCCTCTCATCAGAAAACATGTTGCCTCATTTCTGATGTCCTGTTACACAGGGACATGATACATTATCCAAATAATCCATTTCCATTAAAATCACGGGTCTGCTGTGCTCTGCAGAATTACAGTCGGGGACTCATAAAATACAGGTGCAATTCCTTGCCCTGTGCAGGTATTGTTTCTCCCACATTCCTTCCCTGATGATTAATAATAAGACAAAGATTTTAGTGGAGTGTAACCAGACCAGGAAGGAGCTGGGGGAAGGTTTTGTGGCAGGTGGCAGCAAGTCACCACCACAGGGGCACAAAGGCACTGCCAGCGGGGTTGGAACCACAGTGGGGCTGGCACGGGGCCGAGCACTGGGGATTGTCCAAGGAGGCATCTGTGAAAGGCTCAGGATCCCGAATCCTGGCTGTCATGGGGCTCTGAACTTGGTGGCAGCTGGGAGCCTCTGCCTTGGGCAGGGCCTTGGGGCTGTCACAGGGTGATTGGCAGCGTCTCTCCTGGTTTGGGCTCAGCGGCCTCCAGTTCCTGCTGAGTTCGTAGCAGCACGTCCAGTATCTCATCCCAGACATAAAGGTACAATCTGCTGTGCCATTCCTAAAAGGGACCTGACCCTTTGCAGTGCTGAAAACACCGAGATCCCTTAAATTAATCCCTTTTTCAGTACCCATGCATGACTAAAAATTAGTTATCTCTTCTGTACATCAGTTCTTCAACTCGTACTATGTCCACTATCTCAAACAGCTATTGGAATTTTAATTGCTATGTCTGAAGCAGCTGGTTATCTCAGGAGGCACTGTGGACAGGTATTGCTCATCTGAATAGAACTAGTTCTCCTTTGCAGAAGTGTTGTTTCAAAAAAGGACATTCAGAAATAAGTAGTTACATCCCACTTGGGACCATCAGATCTGTGCTTATGTAAAGCAAGCAAGCAGAATTTGCATGATAATTCTTGACTGCTCTTCAGAAATCTGTATATTTATTTAATTTCAAGCATGCTACTCTCATTTCTGAAACATCATTTCTATGAACAATGAGTGATCAGTAAATACATCATAGCTTTACTGGGATACAGAGATGTAATGTAAGAGTGGAGAATAAAATAATGCTCCTACCATGATGTCAACTAATACAGCAAGAAAGAGATTTGCAAGGACTCCTCGTACTGGTAGAAATTTCACCTCCATTTAGAGAATTTGCATACTGCCACGTTAGCTAGACCAGCAAAATCACTTAGTGTGAAAGCCACTTCTGAAATGGCAAATAAAAATAGCTCATTTTGATTGGTTTGTTATCCCGAGTACAACGGGGATCCCAAAGGGTCCTGGAGCATATTATACAAACACACAGAGCTAACTTCACAAAATTATGCACTGCAGGAAGATTATCACCTTCTCAAACGCACATGGAAGATGAAGAGAAGCAGAATATCTTGTACAGACAAATTGGATGTGTCAGTGTGAGTGTTTCAACTGCTGCAGAAAATGCCAAGTGATTTGTAAGGATCACTTTCCTTTTATCGCCTCCCTTTATCTTGTAGCAGTGACAGTCTGGGACTCAGAAATCACAGAAGGAACCACCAATGCAGCCCATTTCTGTAACTTTTTTCTTCACTGTATATGTGTTCCTAACACAAAAACTGATCTCAGTCCCACTTAAAAAAAAAGAGTGAAAACATGACAAAACAGGGCTTAAGCTGCATGACTGTGGCTCTCTGTGGAGGAGTGTAAAAGACAATTGCCCCAATTACATGCTGGTTTTGGAACTCCATGAAGCCTAAGCCTATTGAAATATATATTTGGGAGTGGAGGGGAGGGAGGATGCTCTGGAATGAGGCCTGGAGCTGGAATGCTGTCGTAAAGGCAGCAGGAGGAGGGAGAGCCATAAACTGGCTGCGATCCCCAAATTTTAAAAAAAGTCCAGAAACATTTTAATGCCAGATTATGTGACACCTTTCTGTCCTGGTTTTTATTTTTTTTCTTTTGTCCTTAGTTCTCCATCTAGTTGACTGAAACTTTTCCTATTTATGCCCCCAACTGTGCAAGCTGGGTTGACTAAAGGCATTTTTATTTTTTTCTACTCCAGCCTGACAAAGTCCTGCTTATGCAACAGCTTATACCTTCAATAACAGCAATATAACTGCATCAGAACTAAAAAAAACCCACCCAGATTTCTCAGCACCAAGGCCTGAGAGAACTTGCTACTGTGCTGGGATGTGACAGGAGGCAATTTATAAGGAATTAACTCTGACAGTCACTTTATACAGCTGATTTTCAAAGATCTAGGCACTAAAGATGTGTTAATGAGGGTACTGAGGCTTCATAATTAATTATATTAGCATCTCTTTGTTACTCCCTACAACAGGAGTGCCTAGTTGACATTTCAATAGGAGGCTGGTGGTGTTCTTTGGGATTATTATCCAGGAGTGCAGTTATACCTTAGCTCCCAGAGGGGAACTTGTATGGAAATGCCGCTGTGAATTGGAAGGGCCTTTGGATCTCAGGAAAAGCCCTTGAAGGAGACTCTGCTGGAAACTGAATGGATGTCAGGAAAATTTCTCTAGCCTGGAATCTCTCTTCAGATATGGACTCTCCTCCCCCTTCATTTCTGCTTTCCCTTCCTTCCCTCCCCCCTTCCTTCCCAACCCACAAGGCTTAAGAGCCACAACACCCAGCTCTTACTGAATGTTTAGTTCCAAACCCCTAAAGGAAGGAATACTGACCTGAACGAAACAGAGAACAAAGTAACCTGAAAACAGAGAATATTTTCACAGGCTTGAGTTTTCAGTGCAATAAAGCCAGAGCTGCCAGAAGGAGTCCCAGAAGTGGTGAGTCAGATAATAAACGTACGGCTGTGGTGGGAGGGAAACGGTCTCGACTTTGTTTTATCCCATACCCCCCCCTTAGAAAGGCAGATGAAATTGTTTTCCAGTCATAACCCTGTGAAAACAAACATGGAGTTTAAAGGTTATTTCCTTTGTTTTGACTCAAAAAGGGAAGGATGACGATTTGTCAATGATCTCAAATTCTGCTCTAAAAGTTTTTCCAGGATCGCCTGAGGTGGCAGAGCTGCTGTTTTGTTTATTGATATATTTCACTTGCTCGTGTTAATTTAAACAAAACTTACCAAAAAATGGCTGTTTTTTCACACCAGTTTCAATTAGAACCTTGTCATGGTTGGGCTCGGTTAAGGGCAGTTGGACAAACACCTCTAAGTGAGACTTGTGCAACATGTTCCTCACTCCTTCATTACTCCCTTCAGGGGACCCTCTTCATCTGCACCAGGGAACTAGCTCAGAGTACTAGTCTAAGTTAAAAATAAATGAGGGTTATGGGGACTATTTCTAATTGAAATCAATTCCCTGATTCAATTTAACATGGGGCTGCACCAGGAAAAAAAACACTGGCACAATGCAGGGACAGTGTGAAGGGGAAGAGGGCAGGAGTGCGTGGTGGGGAATGCATAAGTAGGAATTTCTACCAAAAAATAGGTTGTCAGACTATGTCCTGAAAGACTTTACATTCCTCCATGCCAGAGCCATCTCTTTGCTTTGAGAGCAGGTAACACCTTGCAGGACTCTCAGGACTCTCAGAGCTATATAATGCCAAAAAATAGTAACTGTTCCTACAGACTGACACAATTAACCAAATTCCACTCCCAGATCTTCACTGTTGGCAACTCGTGCAGCACTTTCTGCAGCCCAAGTTGGAGCCCTCTCCTGTTCCTGAGTTCTGTCTCCAGCTCTAATGAGCAATAACTGAATAACTCTGGCATTCCGCTCACCTACCAGGAAAAGAATTACTTTCCTCACAGAGCTTCTTATATTTAACTAGATTTTTTTAATGAGCTTTGACATTCTCAGATGAAAAGAACAATGTGTACAATGTCTATTACAGCAAAACCTGTATATGACAGATTCCTACATGTTTTCCTGTCTTTTGTCTCACCTTTCCTGTCACCACACTCCTACACAGGCCTCAAGACATGCTGCAAATGTTTGAGTAATGCCAACTTCAAACCCCAGAATTCCCATTAACATCCTCACTCTTCACTGAGCAATGTTGTGTTTATTTTAATCTGATGCTTTTTGGATAGAGACAGAGGTTACTCCCCCTGAGAGTTCAAATATCAATAGTGCTCTGCATCACAAGGGAAGTTTTTAATGATTCCCACAAAACCCGCTGCCACTTGGTAACAAGACAATGGATGAAATGCACGGAGTGTAAAATCTGTCTCTAATGCTATTCCTGAGGGACCAAATCTAGAAGTGTTACTCAACTTTGCTTAGGATTCAGCAAGAGTTTTCCTGCTGCAGGACTGAGGAGATGATAAATAAGAGTTTGGAGAATTGGCCAGAGCTAAAATCCTGGAAAGCAAACATTTATAAATTGTCTCTGTAGAAATGTTGGCTCCCTTTTAATTTCCCTATGAGTGGAGAAGAGGGAGGGGATCTTCTGTACATCTCCTTGCAGGAGAACCCACAGAAGCACAAAGTATAGTTTTTCCTAGTCCTCAACACTTAGTTATCCTAAAGCTTCAATTCAGCATTCATTTCAATTTTTACTACTGTCACTTCCATGCTTTTTTATCTATATTTATTGTGTTTCCTTAGAAATCCTCTCTAGCTCAAGAGCTTCTGAGAGGAAATTCAGCCTTGCTTCAGATAGAGCATCACTGAAGGAAACTGAGGAGTTACTTCCCCTGGGAATTATTTCAGGGCCTTCTACATAAAAATTTTGTTGGCACAAGTATTTCAGAATAACTCCCAGTATAAATCCTCCAGTATTCCATTTTGAAAGTGGAATTTCTGATGATCATTCTACCTAGGAATACTTCTTGTCAGTACTCAGTTTTTCTCATGAGAGCTTTCATTACACAGAGCATCTGTAGCAAAATAAAGCCTCAGATGGAAACACAAACCCAACCACAACATATACAATTTAATCACCAGCTGATTTCAAATAAACATCTTGTTTTTCAAACATTTTTGTGAAATTGTAGCTGTATTGAGCTTGGTTAAAGTCTTCTATTGCCTCACTGCAGAATGGACTGGCTCTAATAACAAAATTCACAACTGTACACCTTACATGCAAAATATGAACAAAACATTCTTAAGCACCCACAAAGCTTATGTTTCATGTTCAGAAGTGGCTTAGGTTTCATGGCCTTTCAATTTCATTTAAGGTTTTTCAGAATATTTTGCCTGCCTCTTTGCCTGTGGTACCTGGGAATGAGCACATGACCATTCATCTCTTCAGGGATTCCAAGCGGGTACTCTGGTAAGTTAAAAATGTTGCTACAGGAAAAAGTAAAAATCAGGTTTAGCAACTATGTCTAATGGGAATTTCAGCAAAAATAAAAATAAATCCCAATATAAATAGGATCACTGGATTTATTCAGCTACACACTGTTAGTCACTGCCTGCTGTCAGTGTCACTGACCTGCTGTCCTGCTTCAAGGCACTTATCAGCCCCGAAATATTTTCATCCGAGGGTTTAAACTGCAACAACTGCAGGGACACGTGGAAGATTCTTCTGTCATTATCTCACCATTCAGTTCTAACGGGAGTGCTCGACTGGGAAGGTCTGTGCCTAGTGGAGATGAATAAACAGTTGGAGGGGACCTATTTGCCTGGTTAATGGCTGTGCCAGACTGTTTGTAGGGCCGGGGAGGCTCAGCGGTTCCCGAGGGTTGTCACACTGATCACACACAGCAAAACCAGCCCCTGCTGCTCCCAGCCAGCCCTGATATGCCAGTCAGGCTTTGCTATCAAGTCCAAGCTTATGTGTGCTCCACATGTGCCTTCCACTCACTGGTGTACCCAGTCATTTAAAACTGTTCATAGACTCTACAAAATTAATATTCATACTCATAAATTTCATAGAGTCTAAAAAATTCCAAGGGGGAACCTTTCTTCCTAATCCAGAGCAAGTTTCCTGTGGCAGACCAGGCTCCCAGCATAGATGTACAATTGTTAAGCAGTTGGTTGCAATTCAGGGGTGGTAAAATGATCCTTGGTTTGTATTTCTCTACTACAATCTCCATAAAGGCTGTGAAATTCTTTGGGATGGAAGGAGGTAAAACTGTGAGTTGCTACTAATTATATTGACTTGCATGATTTTCTATATGCCCATTTTGCACTGCAGAAATACTTAGGAGGAAATGTGCTCTTTCCTCCACACATCACTGCATTGGATTTGAGAGGGTTTAGCACATTTTCTGATTTCATTTGCCAAATTGGGGGGTTGTGTTTAAAATTTACAACTGACTTCGAATTCCAGGAATTAGTCATGATTACCAATCATGTCTCTGTCTTGTAGTAACACACCTAACCAAGGATAGAAATATTGAGAGATCTGAACTTTCACCTCAAGGAGCAAATATAAGATTTCCTTTACAAAGAAGCTCTGTTTAGTCAATTCTTGAGGAAAACATGCAGTTGCTTCTACACTCTCTAAATTGTAAGGCCATTAATCATCATCAGCTGCTGCCAAATCCCCCCAATTTTATTAATTAGCCTGACAAAGTCATTACCATGGGAAGGCTGCAAAGATGTAACTCCCTGATTTGTGAGTGCTCAGTACTCAGGCACTGCATGTGGAAGATGGCACAGTTTTGCAGCTTGAACTGTGCAACCTGAAATTCAAACACAAGCCAGTGTCCTGACTCTGTAACATGTAATGTAATATGAGGAATGAGCTGTTTGTGATATAGGCAGCACAGCTACTTGGACAGTGCAGTTCAGGGAAAAATGTTACTGTTCTGTTATGTTTGATGTAATCAGAGTAGCTGATAAAGGTCTTACAAGAAGATGAGAGAAGAAGGATGTAAATCTTCTCTGAATACATTCACACCTCCCCATATCTCAGGATTATAACTGGACATTTATCCCCTTAACAGTTATTCAAGGACTAAACTGCCTTAGAGGTTTAGAAAATTAAAAACATTAGAAAGAAGTGAAGGGAGGTAGCTGAATATTTACCAATTAAACTTTCAAATGTTTGTGTGTGTGTTTGGGTTTTTTTGTTGTTATTGTATCAGGGATATTAAACCCAGTTATGTATTAGGTCTGAGCATCACCTGTCATTTCTGAAAATCTTGTGTAACAGCAGGTAACTCGTAACAACAAGGGTTTGTGTCACACAGATACCACTCTTCCTTTGTAATGAAACTCTGTGGGGTTTGTGTACATACACAGAGGAGCAGTTTCAGGCTGAGTTGAGAGCTGTGTTGCCATTTGCTCTTTCACAATATTTGAGTCATGTTCCTCCTGAGTGAGCAGCAAGAACAAACACTAAATGAAATCAGCTGCAGAAGCCACTGGGTGCTCTCCTCTCATCCTTCCCAGGGCTCAACAACTACTCTAACTCAGAGGCTTAGTTTTACTTCTTCATTTTTCCACAGAGCAAAGAGGAGAGTGCAGAGAGGGCATCACGCTGGGAATTGTCAAATTCTTCGAGCCAAGCCCCAGCAGCAAGTGAGCACCTGTTGTTTTGAGACCTTTTATGAAATGTCCCCAGAAGTTAGACCGTGGTTGTGCTGTATAAGGGAGGCTCTGTTTGGAAAAGGACAAAATCCAGGCTGTTAAAGCAACAGTACCTGGTCAGTGGAAGGAAAGGGATGTAGAACTGGAGAAGATGTATTGATGTTCACATAACTTGTAACAGGAAGAGAACTGAGGAGGAGTTAGGACAAAAGGTGTTTTAGGAAGCTGGGAACAGCACATCACCAGCACTAAACTGAAGCAAGCAAGCAAAAAAAAGAAACTATGTGAAAGAACACCTCTTCCTTCCCCCAAAACTGAACCCTCTGCTTTCTCTTTTCACATGAAAACACAGGTTTGTATTTTGTGCCTAAAATGAAATATGTTTATTTTAATATTTGATATATATTAATTGTTATATATTTTGTTATTTTAATATTTGCATATATTTACATTCTTTTAAATATATATAATTAATATGCACTTTTTTCTTTTATAATAGCTAGTTTTAGGGCAGTATAAACAGATAGTGGGAATGTGTTTTTAACAGTATAGCAGTTAAAATTAATGATTACTTGACTTTGGATACATCAGTGGATCACCTTGATCATGTACTTCAGGAATACCAGGTAATTTATAGACTAAACAAGGGATTCTAGTAGGGAGCTGGCAGATACTGCTTGGATCGTTATGTTCCTGCTTGGAATTAGCCTTCAAACTTTGCACTGCTATTTCAAATTATGGACCTTCAAAGGCTAATCTAGAGAAAGACACTATAACAGTAAATTACAGGTGAGAAATGAGGAAAAAGAAACCCCAAGGAAATACACCTGCATAGTCAAGAGACCCAAAGGAAACAGGAGGAAGAAAACCAAGCCCTACACACGAGCTTACCTTGTCTGAATGGGAAGATATCCATTTTAATCGATGTTGGGAGGTGCAGGCAGAGTATGAAAGGAGTTACCTTGCTGTGAAGGGCTTCAGAAAAAGGCCTTAGGACACCCCTCTTGGGAAGGATATGATAATCTTGCATTTATAAAGCTGTGATGCTTTGCTTCCCTTTTGTGAGCAGTGGTGGTCCTTGCTGTGTGAAACCAGAGAACGAAGGGATGGCAGCTCTTCTCTGCCGGTCTTTGCCTGGGGAAACACAACCCAAATCCTGGACATGTGGCAGCCGTTGTGGGTGGCAGTGGAAGCAAGGACAGAGCTGGTGGGAAGTGACAGCTGGGAATACAAAAGGAAAAAACAATTGGGATTTGGAAGCAACAGGTGGGAGTAGGAACCAGAAAACTAAAGTCAAGACCCCTGAGGAGGCAGGAACTAATCCAGGCCTTGTTGATTCCTTGTAATTTGATGAGGCAAAAGAGGAAACAAGCAGGGAGAATGGGCTAATGTATGACTGAGAAGCAAATACAAATGGGAAATTCCTATTTCCTCGAAGCTGTACTTGTTTCTCAGCCTGATCTCTGTCATAACACTCGCCTGTGACCAATGTGGTGCTGATTTCAATAGAAAAGAGTGACTTGGCTGTTCCTTTAAGAGCAAACCCGGGTGAGCCGTAGCTGTGAAGCTGCACTGAGCTCTTCCATGACAGGTGGACAGGAAAGGGACAAAAAGGGTTATTTAAAGTCCTGCTGCTCTGGGTGCAGTGGCAGGTGCTGGCAGGCAGCTCTGTGACCTTCTGGAGCTGTGCTCCCACAGTGACGGGCTGGGTGTGACTGACAGGGCTCTGTGCCCTCAACCAAGTTATTTATATGGGCTTGTTTAGTCTTGAGGAAGCCCAGGAGGGACCTCATCACTCTCCACAACTACCTGAGAGGAGGTTGTAGTGTGGTGGAGGCCAGTCTCTTCTGCTGTGCCTTCAGCGAGAGGAGCAGAAGAAACGGCCTTAAGCTGAGATGGGCAATTCAAATCAGACATGAGAACAATATTTTCACTGTTCAGGTGTCAGGCATTGGAATGGGTTGCCCAGGGAGGTGGTGGAGTCACCGTGCTTGGAGGTGTTGGATGTGGTGCTGGGTGATGTGATTTAGGGGTTACAGAGCACTTGGTGCATGGTTGGACCAGATGATCCCAAAGGTCTCTCCCAGTCTTGGTTATTCTAGAAGTGCTTTGGGACACATCCCAGCTAAAGGAGGCAGAGCAGGAAGACAGGGATCACTACATTCCCAAGTGGAAACACGACCTCACCGGTGGCACTGGCGGCTGTGAAGCCGGTCCCGAGGGGCCGCCTCTGGCGGGGGGACCGCGCAGCACTGGAGCCTTTTGGGACCATTTGGAGACAGGTGCCCCCAAACATCATTGCTGCCCCTTCTCCTTCCCCGTGCCCGAGCCGTGTGTCGGTGCCTGCACACGGGCTGGGGGGGGGGCGGCCGTGAGGGGACTGAGGGGGTGGAGGTGACACACCCCTGGGGCCTCGCGCGCGGCGCCTCAGCGAGTCCGCGCGCGCACGTGCGCCGCGCGCCTGCGCGAACCCCCCCCACCACATACCCCTCCACCCTCCCGCGCGCGCCGTCCTCTGTGTCTCCGCGCCGAGGCCACGCCCCCCTACCGAGTCTCCCCACCAATCAACGCCCGGCTCCGGGGCGACAGAGAGGGCGTGGCCTCCCCGCGGCTGCGCGCGCGCTGGGCCCGCCTTGCCTTCCCCGGCGCGGGGTGGGGAGATCGCGTCCGCGCCTGCGCAGCGCGACGCCCGCGGCACAGCGCGCCCCGGGGCGGGGGGCTCGGCGCGCACGCGCGGTGCGGCCGCCGTGGCCCGGCGCTGGGGCGGGGGGGGGGGTGGCCGCGCATGCGCGCCGCGTGCCCGCCCCTCGCCAGCAGCAGAGGAGGAGGCGGCGGTGGCGGCTCTGGGTGAGGAGCGCGAGGGCAGCGAGAGGCGCTGCTGCCGCCCTGGTATCCGGCAGCACCGCGCGGAGGAGGCGGGAGCGCCCCGGCGGCGGAGGGACCCGAGCACCGGCGGCGGTAGCAGCGGCGGCAGCGGCAGCAGGAGGAGTCAGCGCCCGGCTCCCCCCCCTTCCCCCCGCGCACCCCCGTTGCAGCCCCCCCTCCCTCCCGCCCTCCGAGCTCCGCAGCCTCCAACATGTCGGCGCCGGCGGCCAAAGTCAGTAAGAAGGAGCTGAACTCCAACCACGATGGGGCCGACGAGACCTCAGGTGAGGCCGCGCCGGGGGCGGGACGGGAATGGCGGCAGCCGGCGCGGCCTCCGCCTCGCGCCCGACCGCCATTTTCCCCCGCCGCACGGGCCGCGGCCGCGCCGGGGGCGGGCGGAGCGCGGGCCGGGCCGGGCGGATGTGCAGGCCCGGCGGCGGCGGGAGGAGGCCATGTTACAGCGCCCTTTTGTCTGCGCCGCCGGCCCGGCCGCCCTCCCCGCGGGGCCGGGCGGGGGGCGCTGCGGCTCGGCCCGAGCAGCGGGACCCCCCCCGCGCCGCCCCTCGCGGAGCGGCATCCGCGGAGCCTCATTGTGCTGCCGCTCCGCCGCCGCCATGATGCGCCGCCGCCTCCCGCGGCCGCGTGGTGCTGCGGGGATGGGGCGGCGGGGACACGCGGGGCCGGGGCCGCCCCACGTGCGGCCGCGGGTTTGGGAGGCCGGGCTCGCTCCGGGGCCGCGGCGCTGCCCGAGCTGCCGCCCCACGTGCGTCCCGCGCCCCCGCGGCGGGGACGGGCACGGCCCCCCGGGCGCTGCTCCGCGCCCGCCGCTTCCCGCGGCCGCTCATTCATCGCCCGCGCGGCGGGGAAACAGCGCTCCGGAACGCGGCCCCGGCCGAACCTGCGGCCAGGGGAAGGGCCCGTTAGAAAATACCTGCGAGCGGCCGCTTTCGAGGCTTTTTTGTTTCTAACCCTCTTTCCGAGCGTCCTTTTTGCTGTTTGGAAGGTGGCGTGTGCCTAGACGCTGTTCCTATTGATATCTCAGTGCTGTCTAAATTATTTCACGTTCCCTCGAATGTGTTGGTCGTAGTAAACGCGGCTTACAACACTTTAATTAAATTGCTGCTCATGTGTCACGGTTGACTTTTAAATTAAGTTGGCTTGTAAAACTGTGGAGGGGGATGTGAGCTGTGGTTTTCTGGGGGTGAACTCACTTTAGGCCCGTTTTGTCAAACTTTCCTGCACTTCGTCAGCTCCCAGTGCACCCTGTGAGGCTGAAGCTTTGAGGCCTTGTAAGACTTATGACATTTAATAGAAATCCCCGGGTGCTTTTACAGTAGATCACTAGAAAAGGTCTTAAAGAGAAGCCCCAGGCGATTTGTCAGGCTTGAGAATGAAGGGATGTTGACACATTTTCGTTTGTTTTTCAGAAAAAGAGCAACAGGAAGCAATTGAACACATTGATGAAGTACAGAATGAAATAGACAGGTAAACACTATCAAACTTTTAAAATGTTTGAGCAGAAATTGAAGTGTAACTGTCAAAGTAAAAATATTTAGTAAACTAAGTGCTTAGTAGTGCTCTCTCTGTTTGAACTCTGCCAAGACATACATGTGTTCTGACTTGATTAGAGGCTTTAAAAAAACAAAGAAGTGTCCCGGTTTCTTGCTTAATTGTGTAGAATTAAAAAGGTAGAGCTTGAGTTTAAAATTTTAAATTAATTGTGGTGGTTTTGATAGCAGCAATGTATTTTCTATTGGGTTTTCGAGATCGTGTGTGTGTTATTTGGCAAAAGTATTTCCCTGTTTGCAAGCAGAACCAAGAACTTGGTTGAAAAGTTGGCTTTTATTATATATTTTTATTATATTACCTGTGTGCTTGTAGAATAACACATAGAAAATGTCTCTGAAATGTTAGTTTTGTATGTCAGAGCTCTCTGGGCTGTGGGTCTTTGCCGGGATCTTCTCTCCCTGCCCACTGTCCTACAGGGACTGCGGGTGACTGTTGGGGCTCTGACCCTGTGAAGCTGTTGTAGTGTCAGGGCTTTGCCTTTTTACAACAGCAATCAAATGTTATGTCTTCAGATTTTACTTGCATGGGGTGTAAAATTGCTGTGGCTTCCTTGCTCTAACAGAAGTTAGAGCAGGTGATGGTGTTGTGTGTTCTCCATCTGCAGGTCTTTTGCAAACAAAATGTGTAAGGGGTAAAGCACTACTTTGCTTTGCATAAATAAAGTTCCATTCCAGCAAAACATTGTGTTGGGAAGGTTCCATTAAGACCAGTGAGATTCTTCTGGCAGGGTGTTCAGTAGTTGTTACAGCTCTGGGCCTGGGTTTTTTTGGGATACTTCATTAGTTAAAGATGGCAGACTGATCTTATCAAACCCATTCAGCTCTTAGTTAACTACTGATGGTGTGTCCTTAACTCTCAGTTCTCTGCCTGTGGTTAACTTGGCTCCTTCTGTTACAGACTGAATGAACAAGCCAGTGAGGAAATT